CGTACCCCCCCCCCCCCCCCCCCCCAGTACACAAATTTTTGTGCACTGGGCCTCTAGTATGTAATATATTCAACAATAAAGATAAAATAAAATAAAAAAAACCCTGCATTATAGGGTTAGCTAGATGTGTGCCAACATTTTAATGTGAAATTTAAAGATAATACATGTTCTTCAAAACACAGAAGAGAGTCCTGTGGTTATAGTAATCTAGCTTTAGGCTTTAGTGTGTGGTTACTAATGTAGCAAATTTAGGCACTTCAAGTGACCAGTTGGAGTGCATGCTAAATTTATTTCCATGGAAAATATCCCACATCAAACACATGCCTCTTGATAATTAGATTTTTTATTTTTACAGTAGCAGATTTGTAATGTCCAGTTATTTTTAGCTTACTTTTTTGTCCTAACTATAAGATTGTTGACAGTGTCAGTATTACCTAATTATACAACTTTCTTATTGAAATATACATTTTTAAATTCTAAAGAACACTTACAGTCCTTTATTTGCTTTGAATGAATTGGTTGTTACTTAACTAGTTAGGGAATTCACTTAGGGAAACTTTTAATGTCCACCCGCCCAAAGATAATTACAATAAATATTCATTTTGAGGTTAGCCTTCATTTCCCCTTTTTAATGACCTGATTTATAATATTTCAGTTCTATTTGTCTTAAGCAGTGAAGCACAGTAGTTTTTTATGCAGTTCCAATTTATGATAAGGTTTCCTAGGAATGCAGTGTGTGACTTGTTTATTATGAAAATGCATTTTAAGTCATAGAAGTAATCCATGAATAACGCTCATTGAAGCAACTGAATAACAGAGAAGTATTTAGAGTTAGCGCTTAGAGTTCCCTTTCTGGCCCAATACCACTTCCTTTCCTGGAGGCAGCTAACATTAGCAGTGATTTTTGAAGGAGGTTAACATATTCAAAGTAAAAAAGGAAAGTTCATGAGTATTACTAATTCGAATCGTTCTTTTTCCACATTCATTTAAACAACTGATATTGAATTTCATGAGGGGCATTGAAAAAGAGAGTACTCAAATGCAGGAGCTTCGAGTATGAATTTTTGTTACTCAATAATGCCTTTCACTGAAATGCCTTTTGTTGAAATGTTGACAGCATACTCGTAGCTATTGCTTACTTTTTTCCTACCATCCTACAATACACCTAAAGAGTTCATATTATTCGTTTATGTGCAAATTTTAGTTTTCTGGTTTTTTGTCGGCAAATAGTGTTTTCCTCTGTGCCTGAATTTCCTTTGTCTACACAGCTGGTTCCTTTTGCACAGATCGAGAATGGGCCTGCACACTCTCAGTCAGTGATTTTCAACCTTTTTCATCTCATGGCATGCAAACTAATGACTAAAATTCTGTGGCACACCAAACAATATATTCTATTTTTGGCTGATCTGACAAAAAAAAAGTATAATTTTGATTCATTCACACTGGATGGCTATTGTTGTGTGTGCTGTTGTCATGTTTTAATTTGACAATCTCAGGGAAAAGAGGTCAATTTCATGTACTTAATAGCCAGGTAGTGCTCCTTCTAAACATTCTTGTGGCATACCGGTTGAAAATTGCTGTTCTAAGGGATAGTGTTATGCTCAGATACATTCTTAAATTTTTCTTTTGCATCTATTCTGTGCCAAAGTAGTGACCTCAGTTCCTGTAATTAAGAGTTAAAATGTTAATTGGTGCATTTAAAATTACCTCATGGAAAGTCCTCCCACTCCTACTAGGCAGCAAAACATTTAAAAAATCCACAAAAGAGGTAATTTGTTATTGCTGATTTTACTGACAAGATTTCCTTATGAGTGATGGCAATTAAATACGATAGAATTCCGAGGCTGCTTATTCCCAGCCACAATACATTTGATTCGGGGCTGAAAGATGCTTCTTGTTGTTTCCTTTCTGCTTTTCAAGATCTCCTGCATTGTGGTGTAGCTGTGGGACCATGAAACCATCCTC